AAATCCACATGCCACTGACAATGTTCGCCCCAGGAGGGGGAACCTCGTCCACGTAGGTGCCTGTGGACTTCCAGGAAGCCATCTTTGCGTCCATGGCTGCCTGCCATTAAGAGGAGTAAGGACCCTCTATCGCCTCTGCGTAAGAGCGCGGGGTCGGGATGTCTGGTGCATCCGGGTCTCCCTCAGGGGCAAGCAGCGTGGACACGAGATGAGGTAAAGCAGCAGCAAAACACTGGAACTCCTCCTGTCGGTCCTCAAGGACGTCCGTGCTAAGAGCACACTCACCCCCGACGGACGGAGGACAGACAGACGCAGACTCAGCAACAAGACTAGCGGCGTAGTCTAGACGACAGTGAGCAGCGAAGTCGACAAGCTCGGTAACTAAGGCAGACGCAGCAGTGGACTCAAAGGAAGGGGCAGTGACAACAGTGGCTAGGAAACGCGTGACAGTAGGACTGGCAGCACGAAGGGAGTCATACGCCGGGTCAGCAAGAGCAGGAAGAGAGGACGCCGGAGGAGACGGCAAAGGGACACGCTGTGGCGCAGTGGAAGGACGCAGTGCCATCGGATGCGTGCCAGGGACTGCAGGAGGACGCGGACGTGGAACACGACGACTAGTGCGAGCAGAGCGAACAGGCGACGCAGGACGCGACTCAGGGTCACGACGCTCAGCAAGACCTCCAGTAGGACCAGCGTAGGGAGAAGGAGCAGGTAGAGGGGAGGCCAGCGGTAACTGTGACTCGGACTGGACAGGCGGAGGACACGCTAAGGAAGGAGCAGGACTAGGAGAAGGCGGAAGACCAAGAACCTGCTCAAGGAGCGGAACGAAGTACGGCCGCGGCCGCGCAGCACCAACAGGACCAGCAGGGACAACACCAGTACCCCCAGCGTCAGCTCCACCTCCAGCAGCACCACCAGTCCCAGTACCTCCAGCAGCTCCAGCTCCAGCAGTACCACCAGTAGACACACCCGCTCCGGCTCCAGTACCTCCAGTAGCACCCACGCCAGCAGCACCACCAGCTCCAGCACCAGGAGCACCAGCAGCTCCAGTACCTCCAGTACGAGCACCTCCGAGACCCGTGGCTCCAGCACCCCCAGCAGAAGTAGAACCTCCAGTACCGGCTCCAGTAGCACCGCCAGCTCCAGTACCTCCAGTAGCAGCAGGACCTCCAGCAGCGGCAGAACCTCCAGCTCCAGCAGCACGGCTCCAGCGGCGAGCAAACCACTCGCGCAGCTCCTGTGGAGAGGGAAGCTCCCGCCGGGACAACGCACCCGAAGGACCGCCAGGTCCAGCACCGGCAGGCTCCACACCCCCACTCCCAGCAGCCCCAGGCTCAGCACCCCCAGAAGCAGCACCCCCAGGCTCCGCATGCTCAGGCTCAGCACCCCCAGACCCAGCACCCCCAGGCTCCGCACCCCCAGGCTCAGCACCCCCAGACTCCGCACGCTCAGGCTCAGCACCCCCAGACGCACCCGAGTCAGCAGCTACCTCGACAGGCTCGACTGCATCTACCTGGGACACACCTGAGGGGGCAGGACCCTGAGGGGGGAGGGGGTCTACCGGGGGGGAACCGGGCGCGAGGAAGAGCGGCGGGGGGGGGAGGGGGGCAGTGCGGTAGGGGAAGAGACGGTAGTACGGAACCGACTCGTCAAACGTGACGTCCTGGGAGGACAGAACACGACACGAGGTGGGGTGGTAAAACTGCCAACCAGGCGCGTCAGGGGGAAAGCCGAGGAAGACGCAAGGAACAGCACGGGAGGACAAGTCTCGGACAAAAGCTCGAGATCCCCAGACACGGAACGCAGACGCATCACCAACCTTCCCCGTCCACCGCAGAGTAGGGGAGGTCTCCGGCAGGGAGACCCGGGGCTGAAGGTTGATTTGATGCGCCGCGTACTGAACCGCGAACGGCCACAGAAAATGGGGAGCAGCCGCATGGATCATGGACGTACGAGCGACATCCATGACCATGCCAATGCAACGCTCAGCAATCCCATTCTGCTGTGGAGAGGCCGGAAGCGTGAACGTCTGGCGGATGCCCTCCGCACGACAGAAAGCTCGCAGAAGGTCGGAGGAAACTCTCCGCCTCTGTCGGAGTGCAGACGCAGAACAGGAAAGTCCGAGCCGAAACGCTCTCTGAGCTGGAGACGAGCAACGCGGATCCAGTTGATCAACACCTCAGTGACCTCACCCTTGCTGCGCAAGGGGAAGACAGTGGTGTAACGCGAGTAGTCGTCAACCACCAGCAGGAAGTAACGCTCATGACCCTGTCCACGGACGCGGGCTGGGCCCCACACGTCCATGTGAAGTGTCTGCAGTGGAGCCTCTGTGGGGGGAAACTCGGAGGAGTGAGGAGCGGCGCGCTGCCGCCCCTCGACGCAGGGAACGCAGGTAGGGGCAGGCCCCGGGGGAAGGGGAGGGAGGGACCGGGGGAGACCAGAGACAAGGACACGGGAGGCCATGCCTCGGAGACGAGGCAAGGAGGGGTGACCAAGGCGGTGGTGCCAGAGGAGGGTCTGGTGGGAAAGGAGGCGACACGAGCAGGGGGCAGACTCAGGACCTGACCGAGACGCTGCAGCAAACACCTGACTCGACGCAGCTACCTGACCAGACGCAGCAACCGGAGGAGACTCTGTGGTCAGTGTGTACAGGCTCGACCCCGGTCGACGGGTAAACGTGGCCAAGTGGCGGCCCGTCTGAGCACACGTGCAGTGGGTCACTCGCTGACCTGCAGGAGTGAACTGGTCAAACCCGGCATCCTGAAGGTCAGCACCACTCACCAAGTTGTTTTAAGATGTGTGCGAACTGTGATTGAACCTGAAGCGCGTCTGGTGTCTTCTCTTCTCTAGGTGAAGGCTGTTGATGTGGCGTGAAGCTGATGGAGCCACGTTGAGGCTCGTACGGAGCAAAGGTAGGTTGCTGCTGGTTTTCGCGCGCATAGGATGAACCGTCAAGACTCATTGGGGTAACCCTATTGTTGTTGTCGCTGTTGTTTGATTGCGCAGGAGCTGCTTGCTGGTGTTGCTCGTAGAAGGTCATGAAGGAGAAAAATTTCTCCATCATGCTTGGGTCGAAGCCTGTTGTTTGATTCCCGAGAGTTTCGGTGGACTCCGCAGCTGGTCTTGTTGCTGTGTCTTCCTCTGTCTGTAGGCCAGAGGCTGGAGGTGGAGTAGGAGTAGTGCCGGGAGATCCGTTGGAGGAACTCCTCTCCTTCTGAGTTGCCATGCCTTGTGCTGTTGTAGGAATTTGAGTAGTCGATCTTGCTTTGGAGGCTCTCATACCATGTTGGGCTGAGAAAAGCCCTTAGGATCTTTTCAAGGTTAAGATCTTTTGTAGGAATGTTGTAGTTGCAGAAGCGTAATAATATGATTACTGAACCACCTTGCACTAGTGTGTGAGAGCAAGATGAATTGATTAAAGCAAACAGATACAAGGATATATATATTATTACAAGGAATACAAAGAGGTGCGGTTTTTACTGTTCTTGCTGTTGCGGTTCGATACAGTGACGACTCGGGCAACTGCTCAATATCGAGTCAGTTGTTTGTCTTTGCTGTCGCGCTGTATTTTCGTCGAGTCAAAGGTCGCTGACCTTTGACCTTCACGTAACCTCCAGCTGTTACGTTTGTTGACTCGCGTGTTGCTTCACTGTAGTCTGCTTCGTTTCGTGTTTTTACTTCGATACTTCAGAAGCGTTAAATTGCTTGTTTCCAACAGAGCACAAGGGCTTCCTAAAGGGGATGCTGCAAGGGATTTGCCTTCTCTATCTGGTGCAGCTGCCCTGAATGCAGTGACTATACCGATGAGGTTGTTATATGGAGAGGATCAACAACTGGTAATCCAGCGCTGGGAAGTGACACGGTTGCTTGAAGTGTGACTGTACGCGTAACTGTATTGATCGTACTCCTCTTACTGTGGCTGAGCCTGCAACCCCTGATGCGGCTCCACCTGTGTTTGAGAATGCGACACAAGCGGGTGTGACTGTGGTGGTTGTGGGTGTGCGTGTGACGGGAGTGGGTGTGACTCTAATGGTTGAGCTTGCGTGCTCTGCTGGTTGCTTGCTTGCCGTCTCATCCCAAGCACGTTCAGCCGTTTCACCCGCTTCATCTCAAGGGCTGATACGGGAAGGGGCAGAAGTGGAGGGGAGGGAGCGGAGGTGGAAAAGGGAGGCGAAACATATTGTTTGGAAGGAGGATTTGGGTCAGTATGGAGAAAAAACAGCTTGGGTCACACGGGACGGGAGCAACAACATTCAGCTCGGGTCAAAACGGATCACCTTCCTTTGCCCAACCTCCAACGCTCTCTTCTCTCCTTCTCCGTGTGGGCCGCGAACTGACAAGGTCAAACCCACGGCACGTACCACCACTCTCCCCGTCTCACTCCCAACCCCACGCACAAAACCCCCTCTCTCTCTCTCACCCATGCACAACTATCCCCTCACTCTCCCCTTCCCTCCCTTCTCTCTCACCTTCCTCCGCCCCAAGTTGAAGCGCTCTCTTCTCCGTGTGGGCGGCGAACTGGCTGCGATCCCACGCTGACGTGGCCAGCAGCGCTGGTGAATGGGGAGCGGGGACGTCATGAAAGAGGAGGGAGGCGGGAAGAGAGGGGGGAGCGGGGGAGGATGTGGGCAGCGAACTGGCTGCGATCCCACGCTGACATGGACGGCAGCACTGGAGGGCAGGTGAAGGACACCATGCAAGGTGGGAATGGCGGTGGGGGGGAATGGCGGGAGGATGTTGATATGTGTGGCTGCGGTCCCACACTGACAAGGACAGCAGCGCTGGAGGGGGGAGTGGGAGGTGGAGGTGGGGGATGGGGATGCGGGGAGGGGGGAGTCGGAGAGGGGGGAGGTGGAGGTGGGGAATAGGAAGAGGGGATGGGAAGGGGGAGAGAACGTTGGTGTGTGTGGCTGCGACTCCACGCCGCAATCAGGAGGAGGAAAGGGGGAAGTGGGGGGTGGGGGATTGGGGGGAGGAAAGAATGTTATTTTGTGTGACTGCTATGAACATGGACAGAAGCGGTACAAGGAGGAGGAAAGAGGGGCAGGGAAAATGGGGAACGGGAACGGGGAGACGGGGAATCGGGGAGCGGGAACGGGGGGAGGGGGAATAGGGGAGCGGGAAAGAGGGTCGAGGAAGGGGGGAATACATGTAGTGAGGGCACTATAGTCTGACTCGTCGCAGCTTCGCAGAAACTTCTGCAGCTGCATGAACCGAACACGATGAGGTGGATCCGCGGGGGCGGCGGCTCCCCCGCCCCCGTCGTTCTGCTCCGCCCTACCGCAATCCCGCCCTACCGCGTTTCCCCCGACCTCCGCCTCCGCGCTTCCGCGGTCTCCGCCACCACTTCGCGCATTACCCGCAGCGGCGTCTAGTCCGCCGCCTCCGCCGCCTACGCCCTCCCTGCCTAACTCATCAGCAGCGCAAGCGGCGCTTCCGCCGCGATCGTCGAGTTCGCCGCGGCGATCGGCATTCGAGTCTCGCGACTGCGAGCTCGTCGCGGTGACATTTGCGACGCGCATCTTACGAATCGCCTGCGTAAGGGGTTTGCGACGGTGGCGGCAACGGTTGCGATGGCGGTATAGCGGTGTTGCTAGTGCAGGTTGTGATGTTGACTGACTGGCGGAGGTGGCGGAAGGGGGTGGCGGAAGCGGGTGGCGGAAGAAATACTAGCGAGTGAGAGACGCGGGTGGACTAATTCCAATGGTGCTGCGACGGTAATGACGTGCCGGTTGCGCCCGGCCGATCATCACTACTGGAGGTAGCGCCGCGGAGAGAACACGTGGCGGAAGGTACCTAGAAAGCTTTGATGGGAGAAGATTGGGAATGGGCACAAACGGGAAGATTTATGGATTATGAAGGAATTGTATCGGGGATTTTCTATATTGTGCTGTGTTGCAAACTATTGTTTTTGTGTTATCACAACTTTTGCTTTGCGAGTATAAATTTTCACGAGACACATTGGAAAGAGTAATTATGCTCGTCATAAGTTATGCTCCATTGAGAACATGGAGGAATTTTGTACAGGAATAAGGTCCTAAACAATATGTAGGTCAAAGCAGTTGACCTCGACCCCACAGTGTTCAACAGGGGTGGTTAATCGATTATTCGCGCCTCGTAGAAACACACATTTCTGGAGGTCGCGCCGCGACTTCGCGTCATCCTCTCCTGGTCAGTCAGCACGCAGCAGCGCGCTGGGCCGCAGCGCCAACAACAGCAGGAGCAGCCGCTGCGCCATTGGAAACCGCAACGTGATTCGCGTTCGACTCTGCTTCGCTACCAACAGCGGATTGCCTTACAGAGCGGATGCCGTACAGGTGCAGCAGCACCCACGGGTGACTCAGCACCTTCACTGCCGTCGGGCGCCGCCTCGGGTCGCTCTGGAGCATGCAGCGAATCAGACTGCGCGCCTCGACCGACACTCCCGCCCACGCGGGGCCCGAAAAGTCCAGTTTCCCGCGCAGAATCGCATCGTAGACCGCGGCGTCGGTTTTCCCCCAGAACGGCGGCCGGCCGCAGAGCATGATGTAGAGAATCACGCCCAGAGACCACACATCCGCGGCGTATTCATACTCGCCAGTGAGTACCTCGGGCGACATGTAAAAGGGCGAGCCCGCTGTACCGTAACCCATGCGTCCGTTATCCAGAGCGATCGAAAGGCCGAAATCTGCGAGCTTCGCGGTCAGACCGCGGGATTCTAGAGACTGGGGCGCGGCGAGAGCGGGATCGGCGGCGGAAGATGCGGGGACGGCGCCGGATGGGGCTGATCTGTGGAGGAGGATGTTTTCGGGTTTGAGATCGCGATGGAGCACGCCGCGCGAGTGGCAGAAAGCGACACCGGAGGCCAGTTGTCGGAAAATCAGCGCCGCGTCGCGCTCTGACAGTCTCCCGAGTCGCACAACCTCGTCGAATAACTCGCCGCCTTCGCACAGATCCATCACCAGATGCACCTCTTTGTCGTCTTCGAAAACGGCTCGTAGGCCCACCACGGCTGGGTGGCTCGCGACGCGGGACATGAGAGCGACCTCGCGACGAACTTCATTCCGAGCCGCATCCGTTACCAAACGGCTCTTTTGAATCGTTTTGCACGCAAACCGCTGGCCGGTTAATCTGTCGGCGCACTGACGGACGGTACCGTATTGGCCGGCGCCCAAGACGGTGGATTCGAGCGTGAAATGATCAAGAAGGGGGCCTGTGGGAATGTCGAAGACGGAGAAAGTCGCGGACGATGTCGAGAGGCGGCTGGGGCAGGAGTGCTTTGTCGAAGGGCCCTCAGTCGCAGACGCGTCGGTGGACTCGGCTTTCCGCTTGCTGTGAGCGCGGAGGGTGTGTGAGCGCTGGGCTGGAACGGCACTGGCTGAGGCTTCCATGGGGACTATTTTCAAACGTAATCCGAAAATGCGGGTGGAGTGAGTGGGAGCGAGAGGATCTGCTAAGCTGGTCTCGCAGGGAACCGAGGTATGTGTATGAATGTCAGAAACTGTTGGGTTGAGTTGAATGACCGAAGAGTGTGAGGCTCGGTTATATACTCGACGGTGGGGGCAGTTGTGGGAAGTGGGTGAAACGGGCTCGTTGGTTGGTTGGAGTCAGAGCCAGCTGGTTACAGTTCGGTTGGGAGCTTCTTGGACAGGCAAGGAACGGCGTGTCCTTCAGAAGGGGCACGACGAGGCAACGAGGGAAACTGCTTGGGACCATAGATTGGATGCGTCGGTGGTTGAAAACTTCTGGCAAAAGCGCCACAACCATCGTGTATCCTCGAACTTCTCTCATTGTTCCAAACTGAGGCGCGTAAATCAGACTAATGCCTTCGTTTTAACCGCACGTCACCCACAATGAATACAGATCACCACTACCAGCCGTAACTTACCCATCTTATTTACACAAGCAAATGCTGCACGTGGTTCTCCCATATGGTCACTGGCATCAACGTCCAGCACGCAACGAGGCTCCACAGTGCAGCCTTGTAGCTGAAAATCAGCAGCTTGCCATCATCAGCAGCACACGTCTGCCCATGTGACAGCTGAAACTGACGCGCGAGATCGAATGACAGCAGAGCAGCAGATCCAACCAGATTGATGGAATCGGTGGATCCATATGACCATGATGAACCACCTGAAAAGAGACCTGCTCGCAAGCCATGTCGGGTGACGTAACGTGATCTAGCGAGTTCATAGCCCCACTGACATTCTGGGAACTCGAGGCACGAAACCGCAGTTGGTACGTATTCAACCGAGCTGCATCCAGCACAAAGTAATTTATCCACCTTGTTGGCGTCTCCCCTGAAAGTCGAGGTGCCCGAACCTTCCGACGACGAAGCGGGCGTTTCCATCCAATCTTTTCATACACCTGGCCAAAGCCGGGTGGCGAGTGGGGAAAACCGGGTAGCAGGGCGTGTCACCCGTACACCTGATATGTGGCCTTGTCTGTGATAGTTTACCGTGGATAGCTAAGTATATGAATTGCGAAATTCCTTTAAATCCTTCACACCGACAATTTCACGCAGGTTTCTTAAATTCACGGCTTCATTCTTACATATACTTAATCTAACACAACAAATTGGCCCGCTTCCACTCCCACCTTGCTCTGCGAACAGCTGTCCGACTAGGTTGATCGTTTATTGAAGTCAAAGCAGAGTGTTTCAGCCAACAGTTACGGGTACGGATGACTTACAGTGGAGAATCAGCTGTTTAGGAATTTGGGCCAGCTGCTATGGGGCGGGGTCATGATCGGACAGAAACAGCACCTGGATAACAGGGCAACCCGAATACAGCAACAAGAGAGCCTTGCGAAGGAAGCTTTCAAACAAATACTGAGATTCGACTTCAAACTTCTCACGTGGCAAGAGCTATCATTTCAAGTGGTAGATCATCGTGCAAACAACTAAACTGCTTCCAAGTCATCTTGTGGCTGATTTTCACGTGAATGGAAATCATGCGCACCAGCAGATGTTCCTTCGGTGACGGTGGTGGGCGCCAACTGTTACAGAACCAGTGGCTAATGATGATGGCTTCTCCCCCTCTCAATTTCGGTAGGGCCAGCCACGAAACTGCAGCAACGAATGTCATCGTCATCGAGCTGGCGGACCCTGCTTGCTTGATAGCTACAGTGAGAAACAAAATGAGCACCATTGAGCTGGCTGGCAGGCAAGCAGCGCACCTGATCTGATGAAGGACGAATGCCTCCACCACATCGGACCTTGATTTCACTTTACTTCCACTCACACCAATGCCTGATCGAATTCAATCAAATGTAGCTTGTTTTCAATAGAGGCATACTCTTTACTGTTTTAAAGCTCCGGTATACATTTGAAAGGAGGGGTTCAAAATTCTTAGGAAATTGAAAAGTTGCCACAAAACTGTGAGGCACACTATACAAACCTGAAACCCCACTGAAATATGTATACTCGAGCTTTAACACTAAATGAAAACATTTGGTCCTCTCCTATTTCAAGCCCCTAGGCATTATTTCCTGGTTTACCCAAAACGGAAGGTTGCTTCATAAGATATCAGTTTTAGGGGGGGCAGCCTTCGATATTCCTTTACAGGGGTCAACTGACGAAATTTGGTCGCAACGAAATACATTGTTCATACGTTGGGAGTTTCGCACCATCGAAAACATGGGATCTCGTGCGTCTGTATCAGGATCCCAGTCACTACACCACTGGAATAGAAGGGCTTGTTAAGTAGCAGGTCGGTGCGCCCATAACCCCTCAGGCTAGCAAACATGTAACCATTCCCTATGATCAATCGAGCATTCATAATACTGGTCTTCTGACAGTTTGGTATGAAGTGAAAATGTAAAGTGTGGTTTTTAGTCCAGGCTTGCAAGCTGTGAAATTGGCTAGGACCAGTGTAGTACAGTTGGTGTTGTCACGTAACAAAATGTTAGGAGTGCGACAGAGTGAGCGAACAAAGTTTGCACTATCGAATAGTAAAAGATGAAGCATTACTGTGTACTCCTTACCGCAGCACACACTACCGAGGCTGAAGACGAAGAGGTGGAAGTGACGCGAAGGGTTGTACGGTTACAAATGGATCTGGACCGTCGGGCAGATAACATCAGGCAGCAGCAGTGGCAAGGATTCTGCCCAGGCAGTTTGCAACCGTCTGGAGTCACACGGTTGGGTTTCGCTGCAATAAAAGAATGTACCCCTTAGAGTACATGGCTAGCCTAGGTCGATTCGTATTCCCTTGTACTCATATTTATATTACTGTATTCGCATGTTATTATCATCTCAAGCATTTTACATCCACTCTGCTATTGAGGTCAAGGGCCCACCACTACTCAGACGTGTGCGAACATTCCTAAGGTGATCCTAGGTACAATCAACTTCTAATCGCAACATGGTGTTAGAATACAAAGGATGACTAGTGGGGGACGAGGTACAAGTATCGAGAGACTTGTGTTGTACCCTATGGAAGCTACCACATTGCAGCCTAAGAGAAAGAACATCACAATGTGAAGACAATATGAGTTTGACACACCCCCATAGGCAAAGTGGGGGAGAACAAGTGGTCACAAGACCAATCAAGAAAAGCAAAGCAAGCTCAGGGTGGATCACAAAGTCACCACACAGTCCGAGCACAAGCAAAGGGCCACAAGGCCAGTTCACATGCAGTGTTCACATGTAGTCATCTTCTGTGTGGGGGAGAAGGTCTGGAAGTAGTCAACCCCCTGTCGCTGACTGAAGCCTCGAGCAACGTAACGCGCCTTGAAAGCAGGGGGAGAACCTGGCGGCCGCTTCACCCTGAAAATCCACATGCCATCAACAATGTTCGCCCCAGGTGGGGGAACCTCGTCAACGTAGGTGCCTGTGGACTTCCAGGATGCCATATCGGCATACATGGCTGCCTGCCGCTGAGAGGAGTAAGGACCCGTAATCGCCTCTGCGTAAGAGCGCGGGGTCGCGATGTCTGGTGCATCCGGGTCTCCTTCAGGGGCAAGCAGCATGGAAGCGAAATGAGGTACAGCAGCTGCAAGACACTCAAAGTCCTCCTATCTGTCCTCAAGGACGTCCGTGCCAAGAGCACACTCACCCCCGACGAACGGAGGACTGGCAGACGCAGACGCAGCAACAAGAGCAGTGGCGTAGTCTAGACGACAGGCAGTAGCAAAGTCAAGAAGCTCAACAACGAGAGCAGACGCAGCAGCAGACTCAAAAGAATGGTCAGTAACAGCAGTGGCGAGGAGACGAGAGACAGTGGGACAGTCAGCACTAGCGCGGTCAGACTCAGGGTCAGGGACCTCAGGAAGAGAGGACTCAGGAGGAGCAGGCAGAGGAACACGCAGCGGAACAGAGGAAGGACAGAGTGCCATAGCCTGCGTGCCATGGACAGGAGGAGGACGCGAACGAGGAACGCGTTGAGCAGTGCGAACAGGCGAGACAGGACGAGACACAGGCTCTCAACGCTCTGTAAGACCGCCGGACTGCTAAGTGTAAGGAGAAGGAGCAGGCAGCGGGGAGGCTGACAGTAACGGCGGCTGCGACTGGTCAAGTGGTGGACACAAGAGGGGAGAAGTAAGACCAGTAGAAGACACGACACCAAGAACCTGCTGAAGCAGTGGAACAAAGTACGATCGCGGCCGCAGAGTGCCTCCAGCACCTCCAGCTCCAGGGTGAACAGCTCCAGCTCCTGCACCTCCAGCGCCTCTCGCGCCAGTGCCTCCAACTCCAGCTCCTCCAGCTCCAGCGCCACCAGCGCAAGAGCCTCCAACTCCAGCAGCTCCAGGCTCCGTAGGATCTCCAGCTCCAACGCCCCCAACACTTCCAGTCCCGGCAGTAACTCCAGCACCTCCAGCTCCAGCATCTCCAGCGCCTCCAGCTCCGGTAGCTCCACTACGAAGGCGTGCGCGCCGAACAAGCCACTCACGCAGCTGCTGCGAAGACAGTCGCGGCGAAGCACCAGCAGGACCTCCAGACGAAGCAAGATCCCGAGGCTCAGCACCCCCAGACTCCGCACCCTCCGACTCAGCACCCCAAGGCTAAACACCCCAAGTCTCCACACCCGCAGGCTCA